ATCTATTAAGATACCTCTCAGGCCACCGCCACGTGCAAACGTTGAATAGACATAACAAATACAGAAGTAGTTCCGAGATTAATTGCCTGTTTAAAAAATTCTGCCGAGTTTAAACTTTATAAAACTAACAAAATCGGAATCAAGGTCGGTAAGAACTAGTATGTCGAAACCATCAAACAAACCCACATATTCGAGTTGCGTGATTATGAGTTTATAACCGCTTAACAATTCCTTAAGAAACTAACATTCAATTTACTTCATTCTATACTGAATATAAAAATATAGATAGACATAGAAAGTCAAAGCTTTAGAGACTAACTTTCGCCCGCGACTTCGTCATGTGGGAATAAAAAAAACACAAAAGTAAGTAGCTTATGTGTTCTTCCAGACCATCCTTTGCCGTTTAGTAATTTAAACAGACTCTAACAAACATCTATCTATCTAGACTTCCGCATGTATATTGAGTAAGAAGTAAGATTATACAATTTTTCACTGATTCCAGTGAATCTATAAAAGAAATGCAGTATCACGCTAAGAGTGGACATTGTTAGATGATCGAATTCACCACACCACATCCGGCGAGGCTGGGTGATGATAAATGCAATGCACACAATTAGTGTTATATTGGGCAACTGGAGCGTGAGAGGAATCCGGTGTACGGTAACATTGGGGCCGCAATGCCCCGTGACCGACGACAGTCAGGGACCACGCATATTCACAACACTCATTAATGTATACGATACTCGTTTTTTTATTTCTGTATAATTTGCGACTTACATAGCACCAAACGAATCTCTTTTTATTGATACAACTAAAAAATTATTAAAGCACCGCAGTTTTACCTAGTACCAAATTTACACTTATGAATCGAGAATCGAATTTAAGATGAAATATCACGTTAATTTATTTTTTTAGTTGAATGTATTCTTACAATTTATAGTTATTTTTTAAAGGGTTATTTTCAAGGAGCCTTCAGTCTGCAGAATTGATTAACTTTTACCTACGCGCCGACAGACTATAATCTATATAGCCTAGAATTTTAAAGTATGCAACAATTTTCATACAATAATAGAGTAGTAGGTCAGCCTCAGGAAGCTAGACGTCGATCGACGATCCACCTAATTTCGATCTCCGGTTGCGAAGAATGAAATCGTTAATTGCGATATTAAACGCTTGTTGAGTTTCCATCTTGGGAATAACACTCGTAGAGGTAACTAGAAATATTTGAGTCTTTTATTATCCATGCTGTAATCTAAAATTGGATTTTATTTTTTTTACTAGCGTTTGCCCGCGACACCGTCCGCCTGGAATTAAATAAAAAACGAGTAGCCTACATGTTCTCCTAGAGTATGTTCTACATCTATGGCAAATTTCATCCAGGTCCGTTCAGCCATTTAGGCTCCAAACTGTATCCATCATCATTCATCTAAACTTCCATTTATAATATTAGTATGAAGTATGATTTATTTAGCGTAAATATGTTTAATAGTTTAATTAATTAATTCGACAAGTAAGATAGTGTTTAACTACGAGAGTCATTTTTCTGTAACATACTTAACTTATCCCTAAAGTTTCCAGTGGAATAACTAACAAAGTATAGACGCAATTAAATTGTTTAATAATTTTACCGAAGTAATTACGTAACCAAGAGAATGCAAAATTTTGAACGAACGAGGAAATAACAAAGTGACTGTTGAAACAATTACAAAGTACTTCACTAATGAGTAATATGGTAAAGTAATTATATTTGATAGGTGAACTCTGCAGAGTTGGACCACATGTGTGTTTTCGGTGACGTCATACGGCGGCCTCTTCTGTACCCAGCATTATTATGAATAATGTTTGAACTTGAATGTGCTGTATCAAGGGCTGACTCACTTAGTGAGGTTTAAAATTAGATTTGCATTTATATTTGACATGTTCTCCTTTACATGATAATACAACATACTTTATTTCTTATATGATAGTTGTATCTTTACATATAATAAATTTGGAGTGTCTGTTTGTAATACCAAAAGAGAAATTCCAGATTTCACGAAGATGTACAAATAGATGTAACAATACAAATAAATTATTTGCGGTGCTGGTTAGATAATTTTAGTTTAAAGATTTAAAAAAAATTCTCGTCTGTCTGTCTGTCCCTAAGCCGCGTTTGTTCCGGGTAATCACCGAAACATTTGGGCCGATTTAGGCGGGTCTTTCACTGGAGGGTAGCTCATGGACAGGCATATTATAGGCTACTTTTAATTTTAATCCCGCGCTGTCAAAATGGTGACCGGACCGCTATCTCTGGATCGGGTGGACTAATTTTGACGGGACTTTGTCTGGAAGGTAGCTGGTAAAAAGTAGATGCACGCGGGATTGTTATAGACGACCATTTTTTTTAAATTTCGCGTGCTCAAGAAGTAGCGAGCGATAGCTCGTCTTAAATATTTGTTGTGTTTATATAGCTATAGCTTCTACTCGTGATTTCTATCGAGCGAAATAATTTTTGTTAACAAAACTGAGATAGCAATGCAGGAGTTTTGTTGGTGAAAAATGACATGTAGACTAAAATAAAAGTATAATTTAATAGGCCTTAACATTACATGTTATACTTCAAAGGAGATTTAATAATACGGACAAGCTTCTTAAATATGAATTAATCTGTGAACCTGTCATAGGATGAAAAAACATTTATAATGTGAATGAAATAAATGCTTAACTACATACCACTATCAAACACCCCAACTTAAATTAAAAGTCGGTAAATATCTAATTGCCTTAGAATATAAAATAAACTACATAAGTGGTCCATGAGTATTCATTAATAAACATATTTGAATTTGCTGATAGTACTCCCTTCGCAATGGATAAAAGGAGATTTTACGTACCTCTGGGATAAACTTGTATAATCAGTTCACTATGGGCATCACAACCAGGCTACAGTTTTCATTTTATCATATAACAATAGGAATCTATTTACTATAAATACTACATAAACTATCATCATCGCAAACCTTCCACAATGAAATAATTATTTTGAAAAAGAAGTATTTTAATTAAAACATTTAAAATTATACAACAATTTTGGAGACTTCCATACAAGAAATACTTAGACAAACTCAGAATGCTGTATTGGGTACATCTATACTATAAAGTAAATCATATAATAAATACTATATACATCTATACTATAATACATCTATACTAATATTATAAAGAGAAAAAGTTGTGTCTTCAGATTTATGTATGTGTTTCATTCACACCAACACTACTAGGTCTATTTTTAACATTCTTTCACCATTGGTAACATAATTTATCTTTGAGTAACATAAGCTATACTTTTTCACATGAATGAAGTCGCAAGCAATGACTATTTTGTAAATAAACACAGAAACAGAGATTTTAATTTATATAGAAAATGAGCATATTCAAATGTTGCCATGTCCTTAGGTGGGATTAAATTATGGAGTTGATATTTTTAGAAGTATTACAAAATCATGTTTAGCGTATGCTTTACAAACATTGAAGTAAATGAAATCTAGTCAAGGCAAAAATCAATGCATTTTTTCTATATAGAATGTTATATACTTAACATTCAATTAACATAAATACATGTCTTCTCCTAAAAGTAAAAAAAATAGCATTTACTTGTGTAGTTATTTTGTTAACTCAATCTCTACAAGACTACTGAAAATATATTTATATGTTTTTTATGTACAATTAGTTGTTGTAGATTACAAATCAAACAATTACACTTAGTAAAGGATAGCATATTTAACTTGTTGCTAATAAATTGGGCAGATGGTCGATGAATACATAAAAAGCTTGACATGGTACCAACAATTTAACCAAATGTAGAACTATTGCAAATTTCAATACAGGGCGGTGAGAACTACCAGAAAATACAATCAAAATATAAATAAAATAATATACACTACTGCTTATAAACTAAATAATACGTAAAGATTAATATTAAGATAAAGCAAAGTTCGTATAAAAGTCGTCCGCCTACAGCTTCAAATTGCCTCAACGCCGTGATAAGCTATTAGTCATGCGTTTAACATAAAAAAATATACAACAAATACTCACCACTCAAATGTAAACATTAAAAATGTACTTGAATATTAGATAAGATAGTCCTCAATTCATTATTCAATCACGGCACTCTAATCTTATATAAATTCACAAACACAACACATACGTCACTTGCTGTTATCCGCCATTTTATAAATTTATTTTTGTCATAGTAAATAGTTGCCAGGTTGCCAGAGCTAGGTACACCGACCATCGATTTATCTTTTTTTTAATGTAATATTTTTGAACTTTATGCGCATTATCTAGTTTTGAACATTGCATTGGCTTGAGTAAAGATTAATATTTAAATCCTTAATGAACTAGGCTTTGCGTCTTCATCATCATTAAAATTGCCCTTATCCCTAAGAAGTGTCGGTACTACTCATCCATTCATTTCTATTAGCAGTAACATCTTCCCTCCACCATTATACATCCACTCTGTTCTTAAGCATACCATCTATCACATCCTTTGCGTCTAAACTATAACAAAACTAGCTTTTGCCCGCGACTCCGTCCGCGTGGAATTATAAAACTAAATAGCCTGTGTTTTTACAGACTATCCTCTAAATCTATGCCGAATTCCATTGAGATCCGTTGAGTAGTTTAGGCTACAAACTGTACCAAACATCCATCCATCTAAACTTTCGCATTTATAATATTAGTATGATGTAAATTAAATTGAATTCCAAACTGCACCAATCACAAACTTTTGATCAACTATCACAAGGACAGCAAGTATATGGGCGTAGAAAAATCTTTACACATGATAGGCAACCTAAATAAACCTGATAATTGTAGTTCATTCAATTTCATTCTTCACTTGAAATCATGTCATACATAATGTTAATTATTAGAATACCACAAAAACCACACTGGTTATTACTGTAAACACAAAATTATGGGATGAAAGTATAAACCATAATAGTCCTGGAAGACTTTTATTTATAACTTCTATATTATCGGACAAATCTATATTATCCTAACATAATTATTGAAAAACAATTGAAGGACTTTAATAAGGCACATATGGTACTATGTAGACATATGTAGATATACATGGAATGATGGGCTATAAAACCGAACCATCCAATTCATTTTGAATTGCTTCAAATTGTATGAACATTGAATACAGTTCAGAATGTGTTAACTCCAACTCTTGTTCTGTTTTCTCATTTGATATTGTCAAATAAGCTTTTGGTATCTTACATTTCTTTTGGATGTCAGAACTTAACTCTGTGTTTAATTTCCATGAAAACTTTTGATTGTCACCAACTTTATCCATAGAGTTACAAACTAAATCATTTAATGTAGAACTTATTTCCGATGACCATAACTTGACAATAAAATCAGCCTTTTCTGTCTTGAAACCAACATTTATAAGATCTTTGTGTAAATCAACAGGCATAAATATAAACTTTAAAAGCCTTTTATGTAAATATATTAATGTTTTGATTGCTATCATCAAAGTGTCTTCGTCAACTTTAAATATTACTTGTAGTTTTTTCTTTTCTTCCTCAGTGAAAATATCAGTTTCTTGCAACCTTAATTTAGCTCCAATTCTTTTTAAGAATGGTTCGAATTTTGAATCCTCTAATGAGTTGAGGATCTGAATGCCTTTCTGTACACTGTAAATACAAAAATAATGTAAATTGACTAAACACATAAGTATAAAGCAGAGGTGAAAACTACTTTTTATGCAACGTCTAACATTAAGTAAATATTAAATAACAAACATTGCTATTTGCTTTAATTAAAGCAACTAACTTTTGTGTCACTTTTAGCCATTTACAATTCATTTTTACTGATTACAATAAATTACAAGTAGATAATATTATAATGTTTTGATTTCATTTGGTTTGATATTATTTTGAAGTTGCCAATTAATTTGACACTCCAAAACATGTGACGTTTATTGACGTATTGACCTTTTTAACCACAATAACAATGGCAATGGCTAAAACTATACAACTTTAAAAAAAATGTCAAACGGTTTTACTTCCCAACCAACATAAAATACAGACCATGACTGCTTTATATTAGATCTTAAAGAAACTATTTATTACGGCTATATTTTTTTACTTTTCACAAGCTGTAAGAGTTTTTCAGTCTACTTGACATGACTGACATTTACCCAACAGTTGTCACTTGTCACTGTCACTTGTTGGAAGTTGGCATGGCGTGGACGTTTTCTTTAAGGAATTAATTTTCTAGCGATATTCCAAAATGTCGCTAAAAATAAGCAGAGTTCCAGAAAACATAGACTTTCCAAAGGAAGAAGAGAAGATTTTAAAATTTTGGAAAGATATCGACGCATTTCAAAATTGCCTTAAGCAATCAAAGAATAAACCCAGGTAATTTTTTTCTAACCTCTAATTCATTACCAGATGTTGTACTTATAGATAATATTTATCTATTTTACTGTATAAAAGAAGTATCCACATCAGTTGTCTCAACTATACAGAATAATACATTTTAATAGCGATAAAATGGAAGTGGCTGTTGTTTGTATTTAAAATTAAATCTCTAATTACAATGTATCCTATCTTATTATTTCATTCTTAGTAATATAGAAGCGACATAGAAACTGCCCCTGAGTTAATATTTTAATAATCAATAACAAATACTATTAAGAATTCATGCGTTAAAATATATTTAAGATAAAACAAAATTCTGTGAATTTATTACTTTGAATTTTTATTTCCAGGTATTCTTTCTATGATGGACCACCTTTTGCTACTGGCTTACCTCATTATGGACACATCTTGGCTGGGACAATTAAAGATGTTGTAACTAGATATGCTCACCAAAAGGTCAATTAAACTTTATTAAAAAATGAAAATAAAATTGAAATGCAATAAAGGTGAACTAATCAATATCATTAATTTGTAGGGATTTCATGTTGAAAGAAGATTTGGTTGGGATTGTCACGGTCTGCCTGTTGAATTTGAAATTGATAAGACATTAGGAATCAAAGGTCCCGAAGATGTTGAAAAAATGGGCATCGACAAATATAATGCGGAATGTAGGAAGATAGTAATGAAATATGCAACAGAATGGGAAACTATTATAACTCGAATGGGAAGGTGGATAGGTATGTGATAGCAATTAAAATTCTAGTATGTATTGGGAATGATCAAAATACAAATTGTACAATAAAATATTTTTTACAGATTTCAAAAATGACTACAAGACGCTTTACCCATGGTTTATGGAGTCAATATGGTGGGTGTTTAAAGAACTTTTTAACAAAGGGCTAGTGTATCAAGGTGTCAAAGTGATGCCATACTCTACAGCATGTTCAACTCCTTTATCCAATTTCGAATCTGGTCAGAATTACAAGGATGTTGTAGATCCCGCTGTGGTTGTCTCATTTCCTACTAATGAAGGATTCTCTCTACTTGCTTGGACCACCACACCTTGGACTCTTCCAAGTAACTTAGCCCTTTGTGTCAATCCAAAACTCATTTACTTAAAAGTAAAAGAAAAATCAACAGAAAATGTCTATGTTTTGCAAGAAAATAGGCTGCCAGTGATTTTCAAAAATGTTGAAGACTTTGAAGTGCTTGAAAAATTTCCGGGTAGTAAATTAGCAGGAACTAAATATACACCAATTTTTGATTATTTTGTTGATAAATGCCCCAAAGCTTATCAGGTCTTAACTGACGGCTATGTTACTGATGATTCAGGAACAGGTGTTGTACATCAGGCCCCATATTTTGGTGAAGACGATTTCCGAGTATGTTTAGCTGCTGGTATCATTACCAGAGATCAGGAAATTATATGTCCGGTTGATGCTAGTGGTAGATTTACTGAGCCTGTTAAGGATTTTGTAGGGCAATATGTCAAAGATGCTGATAAAAATATAATTGCAAATATAAAAGCGCGAAATAGGCTGGTGCAACTTGGCCAGGTGAAACACAGTTACCCATTTTGTTGGCGATCAGAAACTCCTCTAATATACAAGGCAGTACCATCATGGTTTGTAAGAGTTGAACAGATGAGTAAAGATCTTTTAAAATCTAGTGAAGCTACTTATTGGGTACCAGAATATGTAAAGGAGAAACGATTTGGTAATTGGCTTAAAGAAGCTCGTGATTGGGCTATCAGTCGTAATAGATACTGGGGTACGCCAATCCCCCTTTGGATTTCGAAGGACAAACAGGAAATTGTGTGTATCGGAAGCATTGCGGAGTTGTCAGCATTAACTGGGAAAGAAGTAACTGATTTGCATAGAGAAAGTATTGATCACTTAGAAATTCCTTCTTCGCGGTCTGGCGAGCCTCCATTGAGAAGAGTAACTGAAGTATTTGATTGTTGGTTTGAATCTGGGTCTATGCCTTATGCTCAATGTCACTATCCTTTTGAGAACAAAAAAGAATTCGAAGATATATTCCCCGCCAACTTTATTGCTGAAGGCATAGATCAAACTAGAGGCTGGTTTTACACTCTCATTGTGCTGTCCACAGCTTTGTTTAACAAACCACCATTCCAAAATCTGATTGCCAATGGTTTAATCCTAGCCTCAGATGGACAAAAAATGTCTAAGCGGAAAAAGAACTACCCTGATCCTCTGGAAGTCGTCACCAAATATGGTGCCGATGCGTTGCGTCTCTACTTAGTCAATTCACCTGTAGTGAAAGCAGAAAACCTGAGGTTTAAAGAGGAAGGCGTAAGAGATGTCATAAAAGACGTTTTTCTCCCCTGGTACAATGCCTTCAGATTCTTGATGCAGAATGTAGAGAGAATTGTACAAGAAGATAACATAGATTACAAGTTTGATGAAAATATCGTGAGAGAAAATGTCATGGACAAATGGATTACGTCCTTTACTCAGTCACTGATTCAATTTGTGAAAAAAGAAATGGCGGCTTATCGATTGTACACGGTAGTTCCAAGACTGACTAAATTTATAGATCATTTAACCAATTGGTATGTTAGAATGAACCGACGAAGACTAAAGGGAGAAAATGGTATTAAGGATTGTAAAGTTGCATTAGATACACTTTTCGGCGTTTTGTTTGACATGATTCGTGTGATGGCGCCATTTACTCCGTTCCTTACGGAGTTAATGTACAAGACATTACGTCAACTTTTACCTGGAGATTCTTTGGAGAGTGTGCATTTTAACATGATACCTGAACCAAAGCAAAATTTGGTAGATACTGACATCGAGAGAGCCGTTCAACGAATGCAAGCAGTTATAGAACTGGGTAGAGTTCTTAGAGACAGAAAAACTATACCCATAAAATATCCCTTGCCTGAAATGATAGTTATACATCGCGACGAAACTTATTTGAATGATGTAAATTCACTGCTAAGTTATGTTCTGGAAGAAATGAACGTAAAGAAAGTACAACTCACAAGTGACAAAGAAAAGTATGGAATTACACTTAGAGTGGAGCCAGATCATAAAATACTTGGATCACGTCTAAAAGGTGATTTCAAAGCTGTAACCCAAGCACTGAAAAGTCTAAACAATGAACAGTGCGAGAAACTCATTGCTGATGGTTTTGTTGAACTAATCGGACAAAAAATTGATATATCTGAAGTGAGAGTCATATTCCAAGCATCCGGCAACGATCAGTACGAAGCACACAGCGACAACGATGTACTGATTTTATTAAATGTTACTCCAGACCAAGATATGCTTGATGAAGGTTTCGCTAGAGAAATAATTAATAGGGTACAGAAGCTCCGAAAGAAAGCACATTTAGTACCGACAGACGAAGTTGATGTCTTCTATTCAACTACCAAATCTGGTGACATTTCACGAATTATCAACTTGCATCGAGAACTAATAGAAACAACAGTAAAAGCACCGTTGAAGCCTATCGAGTCGCTTACAGCTTCGAAACCCGTAATTATTGAAGAAGTACAAGAACTGAAAGGAGCTGAATTAAAATTGATAATAACTTGGAGAAAAGATGTTGAAATGCCAGCAAATCCGTGGGCTAACATTGTTCTTCAAGGTTTGATGCCTCGATACGGCGCTGAAACGAATAATGCTAGCATTGTACTTACAGATAAGGATGGTAAATATATAACATTGGACAATCTTTACAATGAAATTAAAGTGCTATTTGGACTATATGGCACTAAGTTCTCTCTATGGTGTGACGGAGTCGAGGTTAAGAGTACTAGTAATTTGAATACGAAAAGCATCATTGTTTCATCAACAGCACCCAAAAATATTGAAAACAAGTCAAACCCATTCTGTAAGTTTATAAACATTGCTAACGGGTCTAAAGCAATTACCCTATTTTTGGAAAATCCTCAAGGCAAAGTCACAATGAATAAAGAACAAGCACTGAAATTCTTATCTAGTTATTTTGGTGTTCAAGTGAAAGATGTCGGCACATTTACATAATTAACGTATACATTGTGCATTCAATAAGATCTCTTTGTTGAATCCATATTATATTGAATTGTGTGTAGGCAAAGCTTGCTGTTGTATTTTATCTGTATAGCTTGTGGAGAATACGAACTTTTCGACAAGCAGGAAAAAGATGTAGAACGATAATCGGGTTTGAAAATGTGCGAATACTAAACGTAATTTTTTTGTTCACCGTCCCCGACGCTAATTTCTTCCTAACCGCGTAATCAAGGACAAATATTGTTTCAACAAAGAAAAAATATTTGTATTGAAGCATTTCATATGCGCGAATTTCATGGAGCTGAAGATTTGACTTTGTTATGTTCGACTACAAATTAATATTGACGCTTGTCGAAAGGTTCGTACTCATCACGGTCTTTGGATTAATTTATTTAATAAAGTTTTTACAATAAAGTTGTTTATATCTATAAATATCCTCCTAACAGTTATTATTCACAAAAATACAAGGAAAAATTGTTCCAAAGGTTATATAAATAAAATATGTCTTGTTTTTTCAATTTATTTTTTTCACTGGATTTCTAGCACAGATAAAAATTTTATAGAAAACAGTACATACTAAGGATATAAAGAATATAAAGAGATTATAAAACAGTCAAAACGCTAAACATTGTTGCGTATAAACGTACATATGGAAGCAAAAGTTTTTAAAACAAAAAAAATTGTATAATGCAAAGAATCGCATTATAACACTGACTGCATGCACATATTAACAAGTGTTACATTCATTGTACATTTAAATACTGAGCTCTATAATACGTATTTTTTGCATTATTCTTTGCAAATAAACATTTAATTCACCACATACTAGAAGACAACTTGGGAAATTTTGCTTCAGTACTAACATTCACCGGAAAGAATGAAATATTTTAACTAACTTTGTTTGTAAAATGGCGACATAACATTTAATTGGAATAAAAGTGAATCAAATTTCACAGTGAATGTGTTCCTTAACATATTGAATACAAATTGTATCAAAATATCAAACGGTAACAAGTTCTATCATACATATCAATATAATCTCTGAATTTTCTGTATACAAAATTTATATCAAACGGGCCGAATGCAAAATCTCCATAATAATTTTGTCATAATTTTTTTTTTAGTGAAAAATCTATATAATACTAATCGTGACTAATGTAATTGTAGCGTGAGTCAGTCTAGACATTGTCCTATATAGCTAAACACTAGATACAGCATCACACTTACTACACCTAAAAGCTATCGCTAATTATATGTGAACGTACTCATTCGATGCACAATCTTAAATACTTAACATCTGTCATTACCGTTCTCTGTTTTCGTTTAAAGGTGTAAAAGGGATGGCAATATTCAGGTGTTAGGACAACAATCACTAACAGAACAGTCTGGAAATGCATCTCGCTTTAGTTCTGCGCTTATTTAATTGTGAAAAGAAATATGGGGTTTTTCATCTTCAAAGTGAGAAATCTCTCGACATGTTGGCTAACACATTTTTTTTTAAATCTTTTACATATTCAGTCAAATTTAATTACATTGAGTATCGGATTTTTATTAACATTTACTTTAATATTTATATAAAGAAAAAAATTGAAAATAAATTTCAATAATGATTTTTTACAACATTATAAAAATGTACTTGTTGCTTGTTGTAATAAAATAAATGCAATGTAGAATGTTTAAGTGTAATAAAAATGTTAGTATTCAAATATAATAATGATGGATTACATATATTTGGAATAAACAAGAAAACAGTTATAAAACAAGTGTGATTAAAAAATAAAGCTGAGTACACACTACGCTATTTTCTGAAACAAAATTATAATTATGAATAAATTGAGTATAAGCAAAATTTGTAGTTTATAGAATTTTTAGATTTTGTATTTTTTTGAAGTAGTTTAGGATTTTAGATTACATATTAGTCTTCAATTATCTTGGTTACTTATTACAATTTTAATAGTTCCTGGGTATGTTTGTGTATGACAAAATGTAACAAATATAAAACTAACAGAAAGATTAGACAAATAAAAATACGATAGTAATATAAGAAAATTAAACATGTGAAAATTTGGGGATGTTAATATTTTTGATAACTTAATGTTTTTTTTTAATTTCTCGCTTAGGAATGTGATAAATAAGTACATAATAATTATATGGCACTATGATTATGAACTATATTAGAAATTTGAGCAGAGAATTGCGTGAGTTTTCAATTCCACTTTCATCTAGGGAATAAAATCCACTATGTTACAGACAAAAAAAATATAAATATTTTCTTTTTAAAATAAAGTTTTGTTTTAATGTGACGTGTTGATATTTTAAATGTGGCGTTGTTTTTTTTTAATTACAAATACTTGAAAATGTGATATTGCATATTTTATGTCTATTTTAAGATATTAATTAAATGTAAAGATTTCACATATAGAATGTTTATGCTTGAATTTTTTAAACCTAAAAAATTCAGACGACAAAAATTGCAATCTTTGTACTTAATAAATTTATCACGGTTATATAACATGTAACATGCTTACGAGAATTAGTTTTAATGCTCAGTGCTCTAGGCTAGATATCTAGGCGCCTCCTTTTAAACACTTGGGGGTTACATTTGTTATGAGGCTGTAATTTGCAGACCACCCTTTTCTGTCCAGCGCCCTGTGGGGTTGCCCAACCACGCCCTAACCTAACGATGCCCTGACAATCATAAATTTCACATCTCATGTTATTAATTTAGTAAATATGTGTATATTTAAAGCGAATTTTTATGAATTCACAAAGTGCACAATATATTGCTTATCGAGAGAATTCAAACATAGATAATGATAATTATATGATTTAATTGGCCAAATTCAGTAATATAGAAAGTAAAAGGCAGGTTGGTATGTAGACTCTCCATTGAATTGTAACCTGATAGAAAATATTCCCTATGAACTTTTTAGTGGATTCTTTAATACACTTTCATTTATCCTATCTTGGATATTTTCTATATTTGATTATTTAAATTCGTTCGTAATGTTGTTAAAAATAACAGAACATATTGAATTATTAATATTGTGTTCAATAACTGTTATTCCGTTAGATCAGTTTTAAAATTATTCTTAAATCGTAATATATTCTATAATATACCAATATTAACTTGATACCGAATTAGGTATTCGTCAAATTGAATCGTGTACTTTTAAATACAGTGATTAGTTTAGATTTCACGAGACGCGGCACACGGCAATGACGTAACGGCAAACAGCATTATATTGCAGTATTCATTTCTATACGGGTTTAGATATATCTTCTATACTTTTATAATATTATAATAAAGCGTAAACACACACTTCTTTGTTGCCTAAGATGTCAGCAATTACAGCATATTATTTAATAATTCTTTTTTAATAAAAAGCCCTACACTCACGTCATGTTCTAGGCTATATATTTTCACGCTATTAAACTTAGGGGGGTAAATAAATTGGATGAAAACCCCAATATGGGAAAGAGACCATATGCTGCTGCCAACATCAAGAAAGCAAGATTGCCATAGTTATGTAATTGGTATTTTGTCATTTGCAATTGAAAATTAGATAAATGTAAACAAAAAAAAAGGTTTTATAATTTCATGCGGATGAAGCCGCAGGGGAAGAGCTAGTTAATTGATATTCATCCAATTGCCGTCTACCGTATCTTACGAAATCGTACCTCAAAATTCAGAAGTTATTTCTATCACCGTATTTCACTTATAGTATAATTTTCTCACTTAGTCTTAAGCCGCGAGGTCAAATAAAATTCGAAAATAACCGGTCTACTAAAGTATCTAGCAATAAATACGTCTTACAATACTAGAGAGCTATGATTTTACGCTTAAAATATGTTTTAAGGCAGTCAAAATAAATGATTCAAATTAATATCGCACTTTTTGTTAACAAATTACAACCAAAGACTTGTGTTAATAGACAGGACAACTTGAATAAATAATAATTGACGATTGATTATAGTCCTTTTCAAATATATTGTCGGTTCAAGGTAACATACAGTTGTGTGCTGCGCAACGACTCGTGTGATGTTTCGAGCCTGTAATATATCCGACAACTACTATACAATTAGGTAAGAAGTCTACTTCGTCAGATTCGAATATGAAGAATTATTTTTATACTACGAATAGTTGTGCTATTGACATTTTATTAAAAAGTTTCAAATATCTGCACACAACTCTGACATTTGTTAACAAAAAATGCGATAGTATATAAAAGAAAATTACATTAAAAATATAAATACAGTCGAATACAAGAGTTTTGGCACGAGGAAGCTCGATACCAGTACGCTAAAGCTAACATGACTACATTACACCGCTCAGGGATGACCGCTACAAACAACGATTATATCGATATTATAAAATCGATAAACATAAATCGATAATTTCAAAAAAATAAAAAATCTTATCACAGTTTTAAATTAATATAAAATATTAAAAATTGCACAGAATACCGTTTGTTGTGTTCGTGATATCGATTTTATAATAAAATCGATATAAAAGTAATCGATGTTGTAGTCCATCCCCGGTGTGAAGGAAGTTGTAAGGAGGCCACTAGTCCGCTACGCCGGCCGCCGTCACTCGTTACCCTGAAACACCAATGTTATTATATTATATATTTAGTTAAAAATGTCGTCTTACTTACTACTAATCTTAGTAATTATAAATGGCAAAAGTGTAAATGGATGGATGGATGTTTGTTGGAGTTAGTAGCCTAAATTGCTGAACTGTTCTTGATGAAATTTGGCATAGATGTAAGGGATAGTCCGAAAGAACACATAGGCTACTTTTAATCCTAGAAATAATTACTAATGTCAGGTTTCCGATGGATGAATAGTTTTTTTGTATGTTAATTTTAATAGAGTGCGGATGAAGATGCTGGCAACAGGTTTATGGTAGAACATAGAACATTAATTAGTGTGGTAGTGATATACTAGTCACATGGTTTTCACAAGTAGTTAGGTTTACATTTATATACGCCTTTGGAGTTTCTAGGGGAGAGCTGCCCCTTCCAACTCCACCTGGCGACTCTATAGGTATAAGGTTTTTGAACTTTGTAAGTCTATTAACCCTTAAATGCGTGATTTTTTTTTTCTATTTACATACCATAAAAAATATTTTTCAAAATAGTCTATTGTGTGAGGAAGATATTGGGTTAAGAGGAAGTTTCTAGACTGTGGTGTACCTGTGCGGAGAGCGGCGCGTCCTATCTGATCATCTCGAGGTACTTGTGCTTGTGCTTGGTGAGCATCTCCGTGACGGTGACCAGCTTGCGCAGCGCGGGCTGCGACTTGCCCAGCGTCTGCAGCTCGCTCAGGTGCGACACGCAGATGTGGTGCAGCGTCGCCAGGTCCTTGGCTGATAATTACAACAAATATTCATAAACTATGAGATTTTATTATCACTATACCTGCCCACTAAGTGGCTCGGAGCCTACGCTGTGTAGTGAGAGAGGTTGGCTCCTACGGTGTTTAACGGCAACGATTTTAAAATATTTTAGATTGAATGTAACATAATCTTTACAATTCTAAAATTATTAAGGCAGTGTGATATACTTTATTTTAGGCAAATAGCAACGCAAATTTAGTTTTAACTTACATCGCTTTTATTAAGTACAGACAGCTGCATAAATATGTTCACATTTATCAAACTTAAAAAATTTGGACTTTTTTAACAATATTTATACAAGCTTTTCTCTATAGCATATATTTATGGTCGCAACCATACTTACAAGAATGTTGAAACGTAATTTTAAAACCGTTGGAATACACAGCGTTTTGGAGCCTTATAAATATATACATTTGTGCAGCTGACTGTACATATATACAGCAAAAATAAAAGTAATAATTACCAATATCGACATTATTATTAGTGTTAGGAGGCGCGGTGCCCGGGTCCGGCACTGAACTTAGTTGGTCGAGGAAAGCGATCATTCGTTCTTTGTTCTTCAGAATGAACGGATTCACCACTTCCATGTAGGGTTCCTAAAAAGTAAAAAATCGACAAATTAAATTATATAGCTTTTTTCATAGTGCAACATTACAAGGAATGTTTCCAAGAAACTTAACAAATATTGAAGTTATTAATCTAAAACACATTACAGTAAATAAAAAAGTTGGGCATCATATCTGACCACAGACATATTAATTTTTAACACTACTCTACCATTTCTTACTTAGATTTTATTTTAATAGTTATGAGATATGTAGTGTTGTGAGATACGTAGGGTTATGAGGTGTGTAGTGTTGTACCTTAGCGCCGAACTCTACTAAGTTGGCGAGGTTCTGCAGACACTTGGCGACCATGAGCAGCGAGCGCTGCGCGTGCGGCGGCGGCGAGCTGCTGACCAGACCCCACGCGCGCGGCTCCACCAGCGCCGGGCAGATCAGCCGCAGGAATATGAACCCTAAATATATACCCATACAGTACATTTTACTATACTATCAGAAATATAACTACAATTGTATAAAATGTGTAAATATTTCGTTTCGTTAATTAAATAAATAAAATTTGATAAGTTGATCACAAGTAAAAATTTGTTGATTTACATATCCATTGTCTATACATCTTTATGTCTCTTTGTCTATAATATAAACTGAAACAATGCTAGATTTTAATTTAAGTTAACAATTAAAACAGGTACTTACAGTTACTATGAAAATAAATTAAGAAAAAAAAACAGAAAGTCATAATTTTTAAGGTATTCACACTTCTATGGTATACTCAGAGTTATGACACGATTGCGGTCGAATACTGAAACATCATTTAAAAATTAACAGCGCCTTAAATAAGGCCACGCCCAAAAACTAAACATCATACAAATTTTAACATTTAATAAGCGACTCTAACGAAGCGAAATATTTAAAATTCGTTCCAGTATTTTGTATTTAGTGAGTGAGTGTGAGTAATCAGCGAGTGCGTGTTACCGGAGACGACGCGCGTGCGCACGAAGCGCTCGCTGGGCCACTTGGCGAGCGCGGCGCGCTGCAGGCAGCCGCACACGTAGCGCACCGCGCGCGGGCACGACTCCGGCGTCAGGAAGATCGAGTGGGTTATCTGCACACACACACATGGGACACCAATTATTTTGTGATTGAATGTCCACTGCCTTGAAGAGGCATTTACAGATTCCCCATGCTTGAGGTGGCCGAGCGCAGGTGGCGCTTAGCTTAAACCTCGTTTATAAGTAACTACAGGAGCCTCAGCACGAGCCGTTACTTCGTTATTATTACCGGATTTGGTGGGACACCAACCTTTCACTAATAATTATATACTAACTACAGTTTGATGCTTAGTTTAATTCTTTTATGCGACAAAAGATGGCTCTGTTTTAGAAACTAGCTTTTGCCCGCGACTCCGTCCGCGTGGAATTAAACAAAATAAAAATGAGAAGCCTTTCCGTTCTTCCGGAATATTCTCTACTTCCATACCAAATTCCATAGAAATGGGTTTATTCGTTTAGACTACAAACTCTGAGAAAATTCCATCCATCCATCTAAATTTTCGCATTTATAATTTATTATAAATGAAAAAGTGCCTAAACGGCTGAACGGATCCCCACGAAATTTGGCATAGATGCAAAACATAATCTGGAAGAAAACATAAGCTAAAGTATTTTTTATATAAATTCCGCGAGCGGAGTTGCGGGCAAATGCGTGTATGTTATACATAAAGTATATTACCTGATCTAATATCAAAAGTAGAAACTCAGCATTATTACAGGCATCTTCGGGAGAGTCCATCTTGGTTGGGTTCAACTCAGCGGATTGCTTGGAGTCTATCAACTTCTGGACCGTTTCTGCTATCGCCGCCTGCGAGGAAAATATTTTAAATTTATTAATGAAAAACTTATTGAATTTAATAAATCTTTGATTTTAAAATCGATCATCATCACTATCTCACTAAGCGTCCCCACTTAGGGGCTCGGCGCCTACCCTTCGTTAGGGGTGTTTAGGCCATTATCAACTAAATGAGTGTTGGTTGATTTCACCCATATCTTAAAGCTATATTACAATTTATGGCTCATAAATATTCAAGATTAAAAACATAAATTGAAAAAACTTAAATTATTTAAAAGTTGTATCCTAATTACTCTCTTATTTACACTCGTCAATAAAGTTTTTTACTAACAAAATATGAGATTTCCTCCAAATAAAGTGTTTTTATGAAAAGGATGAGAATGTTTTCGTAGAAATGTAGATACCTGTAGGAAGGGCTTGCAGAGCGCGTGCATGAAGTGGTCGAGCACGGCGGTGGCGAGGCTGGCGGCGCGGAAGAGCGCGCGGTGGTCCGCCTCGCGCAACACCTCCGCGCCCGCCAGCTCGCGCGCCAGCTCCGCGCCGCGCCCGCACTCGCTGAACGTCTGCAGGATCGCTGCGCACGACATACACTCAGGGAAACTGTCGGTACTTCAAGTTACAACGGGACAAGGAAAAAAATATATGTATCTGTCGGTTAGTAATGCACGGATTCGTTTTTCATTGTTATCCCTTCTTTTACACTCACTGATATTATTCTCAGGAAGAGGTGGAGTTTGTCTCGTTGCAATCAACAAGACAACTTTTTCTGAAATGAAACATCGCAGATTTCCACGACAGTACAACTTACGTATCTATCAGATCACGAGTATCGCGTATCTCATAACAATCTTCAAATAGTTTGTAAGCAACTAGCTTTTACGGTAACCGATAGAAATGTCTACGATGCACTTGAACACGAACCGCAATGAGATTGTGCACATCGCAGAATTTCGATTTATGTTGCCTTGGGTAAGAAGGGGCACTTATACAGTAAGTGGTCACTAAGGGATACCGTTACTATATATATGCGATACTAAACTTACAATTTTGAATATGTTAGACCATGCCTCTTAAGACTTTCAGAAAATCGCGCCTTAAATACTTTTTTATATCCGTTAATATTAACTTACACGTAGCCAGCGGCTGCCTGTCCGTGCGGCAGAGCTCCGCCAGCGCCTTGACTGCTGGAATGCCGGGCTCCAGCAGCAGCTGGCGGAGAGGATTGTACTCTTCACGAGGCATCACCAGCTCCTGCATGTATCTGTATAAAATAGTACAATTTCAATTATAAAATTTAAATTTCAACTCCCGAAACATTTCGAGACGAGAAATATAAAATTTACGACATATTGCGGATATTTTTAATTATAATGTTAGTAAGATTATTTTAATATTATTTATAAGAACGCAATTAAAAAAATCTGCTCTAAGTTAGAGAGGGTTCATTTTGTGTACTAGCTTACCTTATACGTAGCCTCAATGAGCCCCATTCACCAATCGGTGTCATACCAGCAAGGGGATACCACTCTTCTACTTCTTCTCCATTAGCCAGATTTGCAAGCTCTATTGTCAATTCTGCTACCTAAAATTAATTAAAATTAAGTTGTAAAGTATTCGTAACAAATGTTTTAAGAATTGCTTATTAAATTAATTCTTACCTCAGACTCTTTACCTCGTTTCCCTGTATTATGCACTGTGATAGTGAATGACGTCACATCCGGAGGCACGTCGCTAAAAATAAGAAATATCACTTCGTGGAGTATACGTTAGAGTTACTTTTAAATTAAAATATTTTTGCGTATTCCGATTTACTTTATGTGCTACTAACTTTTGCCTGCAACGCGTACCTGCGCGAAATTATATAAAAAAAAACAAAAAAATTAATTAGCCTACATGTTCTTTCAAATAATATTCTTTACCTATGCAAAATTTTGGCTACACGTAACGGATCTAACTAGCCGTTCTGGATATACGTAGTTTAAGAAACCGGTACCGTGCCGAAGTAGCGGCGCAACACTAGATTGGCAATGATCACGTCCCATCCCTATGACATTTGTGAATATCAATCTGAAGTAATAAGAAAACGCGCTTTTTCTAGCAGAATCGATAGACTGAGCATTGAAGTAGATTTACGTTGTTACGATTATATTAGTCTAAAAGTAGTAACAAACCATCTATACTTCCTCATTTACATTAGTTATATAAAAATATAAGCTAGGTATACTAACTCGAAGACAAACTCGTCATCCCAGTGGGGGTCCGGCGAGGGCTTGGCGCGCGTGCGGGCGACGGGCGCGGCGCCCAGCGCCAGGCGCAGGTGCGGGCGCGGCGCCAGGCGCGGCGGCAGCCGGTGCGCCGTCACGCAGCGCACGCGCAGCGCCCGCAGCCACACCACGCGCGCCACCTGCACCGAACATACGTAATTACTGAACGATGGCTTTCTAATTTTAAGGAGAATCTACCCAAAGCATGTAGTTTTATAGTGGTCGCACACCTTTGACTAAATAATCGCAAAACTAAAAACCGAGTTGTGTACGCACCTCCATATAAGCTCATAAGAATCAAAGTAAGCAGTCTGCAGTGTACAATGAGCAGTCTGCAATATGCAGTGAAGAGTGAGCAGTATGCAGTGAGTAGTGAGCAGTGTGCAATATATAGTGAGCAGTGTGTAGTGAGCATTATGCAGTAAGCAGTGAGTACTAAGCGGTATGCAGTATACAGTGAGCACTGAGCGGTATGCTGTGTGCAGTGTGCAGTGCGCAGTGAGCAGTGAGCAGTGCGCACCTTGCACTGGTGGCGCGCCTGCTGCGGCACGCAGAGCGGGCGCAGCGCGTCGAGCCAGGCGCGCTCGTCGGCGGCCGAGCTGGCCGCCAGGAAGGTGTGCGTGGAGAGGCAGGGCAGCGCGCGCTCCACCAGCTGGAAGCAGAACTCGCGCTCCCACAGCGACTCGTGCACCTACAACACCACACGTACTGCACATTCCATGTGATAACATTTTAATATGAATTTTAAAGTTTTTTTTAATAAACAATTAAAAACGCATTGCAAAAAAAATGTCTGCAAGTAGTACACTTGGAAACAGGTGACATTATTTCCGGACTCTCTCTTTATAATTATACTTCATTGTGTTTAAATAGAATAAATAGGAGTATAATAAAGGAAAAGGATACCACAGATTGTAAACCTTCACATATTTAAAAATCATTTAGATGTGCAAATAACGGCTTTAAATTATCTCCTAGCAACAATAGTTATAAGCGTCGTTAGGGTGTCAGACATGAGCGCCCCCGCACCCAAAAAAAGAAAAATGTAAAATAGATATTGTTTAAGCTGCTAGTAGATAGATGGGGTTGTTCATTTTCTACATGTCAGTGACATTTTGTTTCTACATATCACAGAATTGATCGCTATGTAAATATTGAAATATAGTAGTGCAAAGTACAAGTGAGTGTTTTCTTTTGTGGTCCCGTTCTCCATATTAAACAGATATAAAAAAACTACTATAAATAAGATTGAATAAACAATAGCTGCCCCGCCAAGATAGCCTAGATTATTATCAATATCAATAAATACTATGGAAGTAAACATACCTGATACAAGTATGCACACGAGAGATCTATCAAACCTTTAGGTTTGGTTCTCTTCGGTGAATCATAGAAATACAAATGAGTGTCTGTGCCTTCTTGTAACAGAACGAAGTAGAGTGCCTTCCATTTCTTAGCGGCTTTATCAGATTTCTTATTCAAATATCCTTGATGTTTGATTCCTTTCATTTTCTTCAGACCTATTTGATCTCTACACTCTCTGAGAGTTGCGTATATTTTCTCCGCGGCCGCTCCTGTTGTATTTTGTTGTGGTTCGATATGATGACCTTCGGCTATTAACTGTTTAAAAACAATATTTATTTATTATTGTATTTAGTCTGTATTATCCATTGCTACAGAACTGATTGACGATATCTATAGAGGATATTGTAACGATTTCTTATCAGTACCACTTCAGCACTAGTGATTGCATATTGTAATTTTAGATAATGCATACTTTTAGACTAATAAATGCAATTTTAATATATTTTTGTTGCTTAATCATTTTATCAAGTATCTTTTTTGTAATTAAATGAAATTCGACGAAGTTATTAACAAACAATATGTATTGTATATATGTAACAAAATAAAACACAAAATTATAATATGAATTTAACATATAAATACGTTACATGATTTTACTCAATGAGAATATCAAGGTAGAAATTCAATTGAACACCACATGGAAACTTTTGTATGTTGCAAGTAGGTATGAATATATAGGTTAACATAATGGAATTTCCATGTAAAATGTACTAGAAACAAAAAAATTCAACGATCATCATCATCTCCTCTGCCTTATCCTACTCCCGTAAGGTCGGCGCACCGGGTTTTTGTCCTCCAAAGCACTATATCATCCGTCATCTCAGTCATCACTCCCTTCTTGATCATGTCACCTTTCACGCATCCATCCATCTCTTTCTAGGTCTACCTCTACCGATGTACCCCTCCACAAAATAAAAAATTTCAACGATATTGTATGGAAAAATGCTATTTAAATATTTTTAATACATGTAATAAAATATTTACCGGTTGTCCCAATGTATGTCCTTCTACAATTTGCTCCTTTCTATATCTATTGATGACTGCATCGAGACATTCAAAGACTCTTCCACCCATCAGATATCTAACTCCTTTCTTCTCTATCCTGAACCTCTGTATCTGGTTGTTGATGTGGAAAAACAAGGAGTAATCCCCGGGCGAATTGTCCGAGGGTCTGACGAGGAAGCTGCCAGGACCTGCCTTCACCAGCATATCGACAGCTTCGCTTTTAGTGCAGTTCGGATGGAACCACGAGAATACTGTATTAGGATCGATAGATGGATCCAAATCCTCGACCAACTCCCTGAAGATCATACCTTGTTCCCCCGTGCTGTTAAAAATTTAATATTTCGATACAAAAAGACTAAATATAAACAATGTAAATATAAGAATCTTATTAGAAAAGATTTAAAATTGCGGGTTTATTAAAAGAAATAATCTTATTTTTCTTATCTTTTGACTTTAAATATTAGAGGCATATGCTTCTACATTTACATATGTAAATAATCATTGAAAATTATAAAAAATAACTTAAAGTTACATGTTATTTAGAAGTCCTGTTACTTAATTTACCAGCGGCGAATAAACTGCAAAATAATAGAATGAAAAAATCCTACATCCAATGTATTTAAAATGTAACAAATTAGAAACTCTTTTTACAAATAAGGATGGAAATGAAACACTAATATCCTTACAAATTACATAAACATTCAAGGCTCCTTCCGTCGATTATATTAATTACGATTGTAAAGAAATATGCAGCATTGTTTAAAATAAAAAAAATCTTGAAGCCTAAATAAGTAAATACTCTATAAACATCATTAACATTTCCTTTAATAAAAGCCTAAACTATAGTTAAAATTTAAATCATTTAAGATCAAACAAATCACATTAATAACTATGCAACTTACCGATGCGCAGTGACCCACAGCCAGCCATCGCCCATGTCATTGTGGACGAAGAATATGTCCCCCTTCTGGAACGTCAGCTCGTCCGTGTCCGGCATCTTGGTGTACGGCAGTATTGCCACCACACGCTGATACGCACATAAACATATAAAAATAAATATTACAAGCTTTCACCCGCGACTTCCGGGAGACATTTAAAAAAAAGTGAATGCCTTTGTGTTTTTTCAGACGATCTTTGTCATCTATGCCAAATCTGTTCGACATCTGTTTAGACTACAAACTCAACAAACGTCCATCTATCTAATCTTTCGCATTTATTATATTAGTATGATTTCTCGATTTTAAATAGATACATTTATATCTGAACACTAGCGATTCGCCCCAGCTTCGCCTGGATGGCGAAGATTATATGTCTCTTAACTATTCTATCATATCCATACCTTACATATTGATGTCAAATATAGCCTATTACTCCGACATAATAAACAGTTGAGTAGTTTAAGAGCCTATTTAATGCAAACAATCAAATTTTCCTCTTTATAATATTAGTAAAGACTAGCTACAAGTGGCTATAACTTAATAATTTCTACAAATCCGTCTTCATTGATTCTTCTTTATCTTATACTAATAAAGAGCTTCAAAGTGCCAATATCCTGATACATTTTTAGATTATTGCATTACCTTTTTATCATTGACAGGTTCAGGAGGTGGAACAGGTTCGACCAGCCGTTCTCTCTTCAGCAGATCAGAGCAGTGACTGTAGAAGCCTACCAGCTCCGTCAAGGAATCGAACTGCCGACCGCCGATGTAATAATCACCACATACTGCTGTGATTCTGGACATAAGAATTGTTTATTTCAGTAAAATTCAAAAGAAATCAATGATTTTGTTTATGTCTATGCAAAATTAACATCTTTATTGATACTTCAAATGTTAAAATAGAAATTTATGGCTGCATTATTATCAGCTGTTTATAGTTTTTTTTTATTAATTTTTTAATAATACAATACAATATCATATTCTTTTTCTTCAGGTTCTTAAACCTTGGTCCTGAGAGAGATTGGAAAGGGGTTTAGTGCATCTTATTTATATTAGGGCATATCTTTCTTATAAGATGAAATAATTAAAATAATTTACCTGAAATGATTGATTCCAGTACGTCCCAAGTAACTCAATACATAAGAGCCTGGTTTCCTGTCACTTTCACGAACTGAAAGCAAATTACAATGTAAAAACATTTGTTACGGGAATTCAAAAACATGGAAATTTCAAAACAGAGGTTTAACTTGGTAACTTAGTACTTTTAATTAGCAGCTTTATCTGAATACATTTATCATCCTTAGAATTATTTACTTCTAGACACTGTTTTGTATAGTTACAAACAATAAGCAATTGATTTGCAATAGTAATAAGAAACATGCATAATAACAATGATATCCATGGGAACACAATGTTGCATACATTGCCTATTGTTATAAAAATAGGGCAAAGTGAATAATACAAAAAGAATAAACTCATAAAAAATTGAGGGTATATTTGATTTGTCATTGTACTAGAGTATGTATCTTGCTATGGCAACATAAGTACCAGATACTTTAGTTAATTTATTTGAATACTAGCTGTTGCTCACCATTTTGTCTGTGTGAAATTAATAAATAATAGAAATATAGCCTATTTTACTCTCTGATAAAGTATTTTATTAATTGTGAAAGGATTTTTAAATTGGTCCAGTAGTTTAAAGCCATTTCAATACATACAAAAATACAAATCATTCCTCTTTATTTTAGTATAGATAACAACATAAACACAACTAGTTTGGACATACCCAGATAGCTCCCTTGCTTGCTTGCTGCCCACAGCCTTTCCTCAGAAGTATATCTGTCCAAGCGTCCATGATACCATTCTGATTCCGGTGGAGCCAGCACTGCCTGGCGTTCCCCTATACAAATATTTTATTTACCTATACATACTTTTTATATAACTTAATTAAAAAGCATTCAATTATTACTTTCCTAAAAGTTTATTGATTAAATAAATAAGTTTATTAAGAGTATATTAAGACAGTTGCATAAAAGAGTATGGATTTTAACTAGAATTGAAATGGTAAATTTACATTTAAACATGTTCTGTGGTAATGAGATAATTGTAACAAAAAGCAATGATGACAGAAACTAATTCTATAAATATAAATAGAACAAAGATAAGAACAATCTGTGCAACAGTCAGAGAATTAAATCAAGTTTTGTTTACACATTAAGAGGGTGAAAAGACTTTTATATTTAAAAGACAATTAGAAAGATGCCAAACATGATGTCTTTTGGGTAACACATGTATATTCCACATATAACTGGATTTGACTCTAATTCTTATTGGTACAACAAAATTATACGAATTTCGTAATTTTAGTTAATATAGTCATTAGAATTATGTACATACCATTAGTACTAGGGCCATCTGCCTCGTCCAATTCGAGATCTGCAGCTAATTCTGCTTGATCTGCACCACCGTCTTCAGATTCAGTCGACGGAGACCCTAACTTATCCTTTACAGGGGGTCCGATTGGAGCCCCCATAGCGCGTATTAAATCAGCCATTTTAGTCGATGCTACCGTAAGGACTTAAATGCGCAAATAAAAAGGTAATGACTCACACATTATTCATCGACATAGTAATATGAAATTTATAAGATTTGGGTAACGTGTTTACAGCTAATATTTAATAACTACGTATCAATTTCGGTTCATTGAAAGAAACACAAAAAGTAGGATCAATCACTTGTAAGTTTCGAAGTGAATATAATGAAAATCTATAAGGATAATGCTGTAATGTAATTATAATTTGAATTTAAGATTAAAACACTTATGTATCGGTACGCCCGTACAATAATTACATACAAAAGTCAAAGAGTATGACAAAAGTTTATGTAAAAGTCATATTACAGATTAAGTGTGAATGTTGATTGTCAAATTGGAAAACCACAGATAAAAATTCAATAAAAATGTCAATGTCGTCTTATTAATATTTGTTCCTAACAATTTCACGTTTTCATTTATTAAACGAATAGCTAAATCTGAACTGATCCAAAGGATATTTTGTATCTTACATTAATAATTCTGACCAACCAATTGCTGAATTTAATCATGATAATATAGATAACTATTTAATCATGATAATATAGTTTATATCCATACATTTGTCTAGTCTTTCTTTGTTTATTTAAACAGTATATCGGCTGATGGATGAGAATTTGGGTGAAATGCAAAGTTGAAGAAGTTAGGATGAAGTGGATTATGAAGGAATCTTCGTTTTTTATTTTTTTCGGTTTATTAAAAGTAAACATATCCAACTGCTTGTTGCAAATGTGTACAGGCAACCGGCTACTCAATATTTTAGCGGTATCGTTTTGTTTGCTAGCCATAAAATGTTAAGGAGGCACACCTCTTTACTATTATTTTAATTAGTGTATAATATACATGGATAGACATCTAATACAAATGTATCTCAATGAAACAAGACAAGAATTGTTAACATTTTTATTTGGGAGGCGAAACGAGCAAAAGTTCAGGATAAAATTTTAATACAAATCAATAAATTGTATTACATACACCTCATAAATCGTCAAGTCAATCTATTTAATTATAGTAAGATTACAGTAACATGAACAAGAATACATATAACAAATATTTATTTTACATTACATATAGAGTCGCAACATCTATCGAGGCTAAACAGGGTGTCGGGCAGACAAATCTTTTCTGTAAAGTGGCGAAAAATTAAAACTACAACTGTTTTCAAAAATTTTGCAATTGCTGTCTCTCAACATAAGTGTCGATACACACACACAATTAAACACAATTAAAAATAATTTTGATCTTACCTAAAAAGGTATTTAAGTTGGAGTATATCCCGACACCAAATTAGCTTCAACTGGTTGCTACGTTCCGTTCTCTTCACAAAACGACATCGAGTAAAATACATGATTACTTTCAACCGCCAACCAACTAGAGAATGTTAAAGAGTCATTAAAATATGTTTTACAACAACAAGTAAGCCCAATTCATGGAAGGATAGCGTTTGAAGAACTGAGCGTCTGGTTAAATATTATATTTTTTGTAATGAAAGCAATCCGCTCGCCGCCGTTTGCAAATTCCAAACACGTATAACACTGAAACTCTCTTATAACATCGAAAAATGTTTTATTTGCTCAAAATACTTACATCAAATAGACACTTGAAGATAGAACGATTATTATATGAACTTACATAATACGCCTAACATTAGATCTAGGTATTGTCTTTTGTATGCCAGAAGTGGTGAAATGGGGGTCCGTAATGACAATGTTAATTGGCAAAGTATTGAACGTTAATGCAATATTTAATGTTAAATGATTATTTTTTAATTTGATTTAAAAGTGTATGAAAGGTTGATTAAAATGATAGCAACCCCAACAGCTGCAGTACATAACATACAATGATAATGAGATACAAAAAACGCATCTAAATCATTATATTTGAATTATCACAATGATTTTTTAATTATAATTTTCCAGTACAGTAATACGCCACGAGCTCTGGCAAGATTTAACAACTCACACCTCTTCTGATAAATATATCGTTACGTTGTATACATTTCATATAAATACCCGCAAAGATATAACTATACATTCTAATCTCATACAAACTAGTTACATCGTAATACTAAAACAAACACGGGAACAAGATTCTATTTTAATCGATTAAATTATAAAATACACGTATCTAATCAATATTTTTTGGTGGCAGGACAAAACAATATTTTACAATAAACATTGTAAAAGAAAAAAATACGAATTATCGTTTAAAATGTCACCATAAATTAAAAAAATATAACAATGGCGACAATACAATAAATACCACATGCAGTAATTTTCAAACATTTTGCGCACTTTTGCCTTTGCTTCATGTTGTGTTGCCCTAGCTTAATTTTACCCCAATGCAAACATAAAATTGTTCAATAATAAATTAATTTATAGAAACCACATATTTTAGTAATCGATAGTCGAATGTTTTTAAGGAAAACAATAACTTGCGTCTATTCCGGTGTAAAAAATACCGATTTATGAGCCCGTCGGCGGTGTTTCCTCAGGGCACTTTTTTCGGCCCCATTCGCCCCGATGGCCCGAAAGTAGTCGCTATTTACATCGGAATATACTTAAGTTGAACAGTTAAATTAGATTATATTAAACATTTTATATTGTAAAAATGTTTCATTAATATTGTACTATCATTAGGATTTCTGCGAGGAAAAAATATAGATTAAAATTTAAATTGAATACAAGATGATCTGTTTTACTATGAATGGAAAACCACTTAAGGGAAGACAAAGAGTCTACAGATTTTTACTACATTTGGGGATATTTCAGTTAAATGACTATACTAATTATAGATATTGAGCTTTGAGCGACGGATAGATACAAATGTAGTTATTTGTCAATTTAATACTGAATCATAAATATATGGATACTATTTAGAACATCGATACAAACAACAATACTACTTACATTTCAGGCTAACAAATAGGTAACTATTTCCAAAAATCTTTTAAATGTTAAATTTTTATTATAATAAATTTATTACGTGATTTTAAAATAGAACTCCGTATCAACTACATAGTGATTTTGAGATAGGCAAAACACAAATTGCGCAGTGAAATCTCAAGCTGGAATCATTGACAATTGGAATGAATATGTATGGTGTTTGTGTTTACATATTTGGCAACGGCACGGTGACTTGTACGTAGCTGATTGGGAAATATCCCGTCTTGCCGTTGATAGAGCCCTCGAACCAGTTCTCGTCCACTTTGCTTACCAACGTGATCACGTCGTTTTCCTGTAGGGTGACAACAAATTTGTACAATTCAATATTCGATACGATACCACATCTTCAAAGAACACAAAAAGTTTATCTTTTGAATCAAGTTTACATTTTGCTGGAAATACTGACATACCGATATAATATTTTTGCTTGAGGTTTGTTTTATCATCATCGTCATCATTATCTATATGTCCCATTTGGAGCTTACCCCAAGTTGGGGTTAACTTAGCATTATGTATAATCCCTATGCCATAAAAGAGTTACCTTGAATCCCAACTCTCCAGGGTTTTCTGGTTCGAAGTCATAGAGCGCCGTGCAGCAAGGTCCCTTCGCCGGCGCCATAGGCGTCCGTGCAGGAGACTTAACCGGCGACGGTAGCGGCGATGCTGAGGTAGTCACTCATTTTATAATTATTCCGTTTGATTTTTAACTTTTGATTCCACAAGTAGAAGGCATTTTGCATAGATTTACTAGAACTTAAAAAAAACGAACATAACAAATATTTTTTCTTCGATTCATTACTTTAATTGGTAGTAAAGATATTAGATATGTATTTAATACGCATCTTTAAAAATAGAATTACTAAAATATCTGGTAACTAAACGCCAAATACTCGTGGAAAAGAAAACAACGAATAACATGCTCTATAGCAAATTCAATACCCAGTACGATTTTATGATCGAATATTATGGCAACATCACAAACTAAGATGGGCCTAAAGTAACCATAAACAAGCCTCAATACCAAACATTTTGTAGTCTATCTAGAAGCGTAACGAAAGCGAACAAAATCTGTTTAAGCAAATTAAATTATTTATTTTATGTATTTTTAATCGCATACCGATCGATAGGTTAAAGATGTAACTCAGAAATAAACAATTAAATGAAATGTTACACACAACGCTAGTAATGCAATAAATGACTATGTATGACAAATCAAAGGAAACATTAATTTCTCCATGATATATGGACATGCATAGCAACAGACGTTAAATAATTATTCAGCTACGTCAAACCGCAGAAATGAAAGCCGAAACACTAATTAAAATAGGATAGAGAAGAGATGAAAATAAATCATAATATTTTTTTTTTTTATGTATTCGTCGAGTGAAGTAAAAAACGGCGTGTCATTTTATTTTTCGAGTCATTTTTTTGTATTTCGAGAATTTATTTATTTATTTTCAATTCGGAAAATGTATTAATCTATATATCAAAGTGTATACGCAATTCAAAGACTATGTAATTATCAATATCTAAAAGAATTGATTTTTAAGAAAGTATGATATATAACAAAAACGTTTTATGAAACAATAAAAGTAGCAAAAACCTCTTATATTTGTCTGTAATTTGATTGAAAATGTTAGATTTTGACCCAACACAACAAATAGCGTACAAAACACGAATTGTTTTTGAATAGCTGAGTGATGAGTTTGTATGTATGTATATAATAATGTGTCATGTACACTAATTGTAACTGTAGTGAATAGTACCGAAGGCGTTTTAATGTGTATGGTCTGTGTTACCCTGGTTGGAGCGAGGCGCGTTGCCGGCGCCCGGGAAGAGCTCGAGGTTGGATGGCGGCTTGTGATCAGGGGAGCCGGCGTGCGAGCCCCCTTCTCCACGACGCAAATAAATAAACATTCCAGCCTCAGTTCACCATACTAATATCCCATTATGACGACCTAGCTATTCTACGTTCAGAAGTTATTTCAGACTATCTCGTGTTCGTTACATTTTGTGAATGTTACCACTGTTTCAGAGTTAAACTGAGACAGAAAATCTTTAGAAACAGACGGAAGATACACCAACGAAACGCTACTCTTTTATAGGAATCGAACTACGACATTTATTTTTCTTTTTCGACTATTATAAACATTGAGGATGCGAAAAGAAAGAATTTAACCAGTTTAAATTTGAAATTCTTTTTTTCCGCTTGTACATATAAATAAAACAAAACCTTAATCTAAGTCGAGGGGAAGGGGGGGAGGAAGGGATACGGGAATGTAATCTTCTGGAGACGAATCTGAAACATTTTCTAACTACTCTGGCAACACCCGACGCCGAGAATCCTTGATTAGATAAAGCCAAAATAAAAATAAACTATCTATTAATAAACAAAAAAAAATGTACACAAGTCTGAAATACCTAGATTATTACTTACAACTGTTCTGTTGAGTGTTTACTTGAAAGAGGGAATATTTAGTACGTGACGTTAGTAATTTAGTTATGTATTTATTAGTGACTGAAGAATTCTCTGTGGTGTTAAATTAGTAAGTGAAGTGTCGTGATACCACGTGTGTGTACCTTCACCAAGCTGTCAGCAGTGCAGCAGATCTTCAATAAGCGTGTATTTCCCAGCGACCAATAGACAACATACAGTATTTGACTTTGGATATCAGATGATAGATTTAAAAGTGCGAAATTTATACAAGGCCTCAAAAAACATGACCGTAGGTTAAATCATGTTCAAATTTTCATTTATCTCAAAAATTATTTATGACTAGCTGTTGCTCGCGATTTCGCCCACGTGAAATTAATTATTAAAAAACGTAGCCTATCCTACACACTGATACGCTGCTTTTTAATGGTGAACGAATTTTTAAAATCGGCTCAGTAGTTTTAGAGTTATTTCAATACATACAGAAACACAAATCTTTTCTCTTTATAATAATAGTATACACAAATTTTGACTCTTGGTAAAATTGTATTCATTTAGCTTGATAAAGTGTAGTTATTACCAGATCTTAATCAATTCCAATGTTATCTTAATTACAAAAACGAATAAATCCAATAGCCTCGTGTAAATTTACGTCATAAAATATAACTCGTCTTCATTTATTTAGATCGTCAAAAAACTAAACATCCCTTCACCTTAAAATCAAAACAATTCCAAAGTCAAAGAAAAAACAACAAAACAGCAAATAAAAAGTATAAGTCACCTGTCCACGGATCTTTGCCGTTGTATTGCCGCGGCGCCGGGTGAGGTCTGAAGCCTAGGGCGGGTCTGGAGCCGAGGGTGGGGCGGGGCTCGGGGCGGGGCTCGGGGCGGGGCAGGTCCCAGGCCCGGAGGGGGTCTGCGCTGAGGTCGCCGACGGAGGAGGAGGGCGGGAGGTGGTTGCGGGGCCGGGACAGACTCTGCGTGGAACCGTACCGCCTACCATTGTTTAGATCGTGCACACCCTCGATGTGAAGGTCGGCCAGCGTCTTCGGGACGAACTCCATCTTCGGACGGTTCACCGCTTCCTCTTTCCTATAAGATAATGTGTTACCTTTTACAATCTCATTTTGAACTATACAAGTACTAGACATATATGTAACCGAAATTATTTTGATGTCTACAATTTGAAAATTGGTAAAAAGTTTCTTACTTTTCCATGAGAGTGGAGACCAGCCCTTTTAATATCTCCGTGCACTGTTGGTGGTACTCCAAAAGTCCTTCCGCAAAGAAACTGAGCTGCGCCACTTGCTCGACCTATTGTGTCAAAACATTAGTCATGGGAGGAATTTAAAGACTAACATTTCATTAGAGCAAAGTGACTTACATCATTATCTAGTAAATTGAACATTCCAATCTGAGCTAGTTGCAGCGACTCTGCGAACTTTTCCTCCGCCTGTCGGATCTCGTCGTCTGCAATGTGAGCACCTGATGTACGCACGCCACAAACAACGCGGCAAGAGGCTCACAAAAAACAATCA